AGACAACCTTTATTAATCAAAAATAGAACAACCACATTACAAATAAAGGTGCAAATATTTAAAGACTCTTAAACGTAAACCTAGTAGAAGTCTAAGACTTTTGAAACAAGGAAACAAACAAATAAATAAGGAAAGAAAAAGACTCAACATTAAAGAAACTAATTATCCAATTACTTGGACTCTACCCTTTCTCTTTGTTGTTGTGGTCCAGATGGACCATAGCCACCTCATCATTAAAGCAAAGGGGTATCCTAATCCGATGGGTTTAGTTTTTTGGTTTTCCAAACTCGGTTTCGGGTTTTAAACTCAAACCCATTCAAAAGTTTAAGTTGTTGAGAATTGAGAAATTTGTGTTGCTTATATAAGATAAGTGTTGAAGATTTGTTTCATGTTATGACCGATGTGGGACAATTTTAGAATTTAAAAAAAAAATTGAAAAAATGATAAACAAAATAAAATACACCCATGTAACAGCTAAGATTCAAACTAAAGACCTCAAACTTAAAAGTTCAACATTTTACCACTTGGACAACACAATACTTGTGTTTAACTTTCACAACATACTACTATAATATGTATACCTCAAACTTAAAAGTTCAACATTTTACCACTTGGACAACACAATACTTGTGTTTAACTTTCACAACATACTAATATAATATGTATAATCTATATAAAACTATATAAAAGGAGTTATGAAAATAAATGTTTGCAAGAATATTTGAACTTGCAACCTCCAGAAACATCCCCTAATACCTTAGCCATCTAAACCAACTACAATTTGTGTTATTACCTCGCTAAACATATTAATATTATGTATGTATACACTACATAAAACAAAAATAATTTAAAAGCATATAGTACCGAATTTTTTTGAGGGGTATCCCGAGATACCCCATGATCTATCGTAGATCCGCCCATGGTCAAAATCATAAGTTATTTGAAATATATAACAAAATTAGATAGATATGGTACATAAAAAATAAAAAACACACAATGGTCTCAATTCGTAAATAATTACAAAAAAATTAATATATATATATATATATATATATATATATATATATATATATATATATATATATATATATATATATATATATATATATATAGGGAAAAGTGAATATACCCTTAAGGGTATATAAGCTTAGGTACCCCAACTCACAATATTAATTCATTTTGTATCGTATATACACATTGTAATTGTCCAATGTTCTTCTAATTCAACTTCTAACTTGATTTAGTTCCAAGATTTATATAAATTTCATATTTATCTTCCTCTTACATAATTTTAATTTTTAACTATAATATATAAAGCTTAGTAGATGTCCGATATAAAGATGTGATGTAAGATGAAGATAATAGTGAAATTTCAAAAATCTTGAAAGTAAATCAAGTTAGGGTTGAAGTTTAAGAACATTATAATAAATATATCAAACAAAACGATGTAAAACTTGGTTAACTCGGTGATTAATATGTATAATATACTTAATGATTTATAATTTAACACATACATATATGATTATATATATATATATATATATATATATATATATATATATATACACATACATACATACATACATATATATATATATAGTAATAATCACATATGTATGTGTTAAATTATAAATCATTAAGTATATTATCCATATTAATCACCGAGTTAACCAAGTTTTACAACACCGCTCACTTCAGTAAGGGGCTGATATGGGAGTACTTGTATTATGTAACTTGTCGCGTTAAGGGGCCAAGTAAGGAGTACTCGGCCGAGTAATCGGCCAACTCGATGGGTTTTACAACACTGCTAAAAGGTTCCCCTAAATTGTGTTATCGGGTGAATGTACTACCATAATACTTCAAACTAGAAATACATGATAAAATTGTTTTTCAAACGGATAGATGTCTGCATGTATGAAAACCACAAGCTCAATAGACCCTAGGCTTACCCAAAATAGTTATTTAATTGTTCGCAACTCAATAAACAATTTAGCAAGTGGTAGTAGAAAAGGCAAGGAAAAGGCTTAATTGTCTAAAATTAGGCATTTATGCAACCTTGTTTTGCCTCGAAGTACCCATTGGTCCCCTCTATAATCTGTTTAGGGTGGACTTCTTCAACTTATGTATTTCTTCTCCACTCTTTGAATTTTTTTTCATTGTGTCCCACATAAGTCTTGACACACCTCTTATTCTCCCGTATGAGCCTTGATTTATCCTTATCCATTTCTTCCATTATCCTCTTTAGGCTATGGATTTTCACTCCTTGCCTATGGCATGCCTTTTTTCTCTACTCCACATATGTTATATGAAAAGTTTTGAATCGACCTCCATTGGGAGGTCTTAAAAATCTCCCGCCTTGGGGTATTTGGGGTGTAGCCAGTAGCTACGATCGGAGTATCACGACTCCTAGTGATCATCTTATATATCTTGCTCTGATAAGCTCAAAGATGTCAATGGTTCAATGTCATGTTCAAAACTATAAACCTTTAACTTGGCATCAGACTTCTCATGGGGAGTAGTGTAGTTCAAGGTCATAATCACAATTATAAGCCTTTACCTTAGCATCAGACTTCTCATGTGGGAGTGGTGTCCTATTGCACTCTGCTCAGAACCCCGATCATCATTATTCCTTACCATAGTTCATTGTACTTATAAGCAAGATGTGATCTAGATTAGCCGATGCATCACTTCGCGCCCATGTGTTTATGCAATTCCTAATTTACTTAAACACATGTTTGATACAAACTTGAAACATCCAGTTTTCAAAATAAAATAAATATTCTTAACCAGTTCCAATATTTTCCAATATCAAATTAAATTCTTAATATTTTCTTAATTATAGCGGAACTATTAAATAAACAAAGAAAAATCCTTGGAGTGTTACATCTTTCAGAACTCTTTCTTCGTCTTCACGATTAAGTCCTCTCATTTTCCTTTCTATTGTCACTTGCTATATCATTTATTGGGTTGCTTACACTTAACGTTCTAATTGAGTAAACCTAGGGCCTAGTGAGTTCATGATTTTTATTCATGTAGATGTCTGCTAGTTTGAATAAAACAGTTTTAGCATGCATTTTTAGTTTGAAGTGTTACGTCAATACATTCACTCGATGACATAATTTAGGAGAATGTGTTTAGATATCCATGAAAGAACCAATGATTCATTTCCCTTCCTTTGATCTTGACGCAACCCTCTGTTATATGCTCAAGCTATTATATATATATATATATATATATATATATATATATATATATATATATATATATATAATATGGGAAAAGTGAATATACATTACAGCCCCACCTAAGCTTAGGTACTAAACCTCATGAAAATACATTGTTTTACTATATAAAGATTGTGGTTAAGGGATTCACAATTAACACTTGATGATGTAGATTCAAGGTAGATGAAATAGTTTTGATAAGGAAGTAAGAATATTGATTATCTTCGACCTTAGTAATAGTGGAAAAAAGTAATGTTTACTGGAATGAAGTAATTAACAATAATTGAGGAAAGAACACAAGTATGGTAAAATGATAATGGAGGAAGAAAATGTTATCGATGAGGTATATTTACCAAATGAAAGCCAAATCGGGTATATTTGCTAAGTTAAAACAATATATTTTAGTGGTTTTATATCTAAGCTTAGGTAGGACTGTAATGTATATTCCCTATCCCATATATATATATATATATATATATATATATATATTCGAAAATGAGTAAAATCTCAAATCTTATCCCTTGTTATGCTTGAGCTATTATATATATTCGAAACGAGTAAAATCTTAAATCTTATCCCTGCAAGTCCACTAAATAAGTCACCCAAGCAATAATGATGTAGACAAACAAGTCCAAATATTATCAACTTTTTGAAAATACATTCAAAATAGATATAAATATTGTCTCTTAGTGAACAAATTCGGCTATTATTTTCTAACATAATAAAATTTCACACTTCAAGGTTAATACTTAAAAAAACATAAATAATTAATTGCAAAAAATCAATTAAATATTTGAAGTAGTCAAATTTTAAATAATCAAAAGTGAGAGGTAAATTTGTAATTATAAAATTATGTGACGTTAATAACTAAAACAGGAGGTCAGCAAATTGCAGGGTTCGAATCTACACTACGATTTTCATCTATATAGGACTAGCGTATTGCTCATAATGTTTTTAAACCATGGTTAACCTAGTAGGTCGAACCGGTTAGATCACGACGCAGTGAAGAGAACGGGTCAACCATGAGTGGATCTTTGCCTATTTATTGCGTAGATTAAAACGGGTGGGGTTTACCAAAAATCCAATTGAACCGTTGATCCTAAACCTGAGTTGATTCGACAGTTGTATATTTTTAATGTTTAAACTTGTCGACACCATTTTTTTCTATCAAACTTTTTCACTTATACCTTCACTACAAGCACCTAGATATCTCGTTTAGACCAACTACAACTTGAAATTTTGAAAAAATGAATGTGCATATATGTATATTTTTTAATGTACGCAGGTATTTATAAAATACATGAAAATCATGATAATCGGGTTGACCCATGACAAATTACCACATCAGGTTAACTAAAGTATCGGGTTTTAAAACATTGATTGAGCAATTAGCATACATATATGTTGATAGTTTGATTTATTAAACTACAAGGGCTTAAACTATATGTATTGAATTTTCAAAGTTGAAAAACCCAAAATTTGTAGACAATGAGGCGACACCCCTTATCCCCAGAATTTGGCCACGTGTCAGTCTCCCTGACCCCCAAAATAAAGTTTCCCCGCTTCTTTTATTCAGGTCGAAGTAAATGCCATTCACTTCAAAATCGGGAATCAAATAACAATATACTCCGCAATTCAATTTGTCTATTATTTCGTCACTGCACTCCAATTTTGTTCCTGAAAATCAGGAATCAATCAACAATATAATCCGCTTGTAAATAGGTATCCGATATGCTGACTACTTATATTTCCTATTTTCTCGATCTACAACCCTAGATGTCACCACCATTGGATGCGTCTCCTTCGTCCGCCTCCCACTGGAAACGAACCGTAAACGATGTTGCTTCCTTCTCTTCTTGCCTCCTTTATCGTTTCTCATGGTATGCTTCTACCTCCAATTTGTTGTTTATCCAGGCCCGTTCTTTAATTTGGTCTTCTTATATTTTATTGTTTGTTCAATTTTTTCTTGATTCTAAATGTGAGTATTAGATCGATCCATCACTTAATTCTTTCTTCTTAACCTAGCGTAATAAATGATGTTCAGAAACCATTGTACATGATTTGCTGATGGTAAACTTGAATACGATAGATTGATGGTGCACTGTATGTGTTTGATAAAATGCTTGTGAGAACTTGGGCTTGTGTTACTGTTCGTGTTTGTTTGGGATGCTGTAATTGAAATAAAGTAAAGTATAATCCTATTTCTTTGAAACCTAATAGGGCTTTGTATTCTTGTAGTTTTGGAAAGTGTCAAATAATTCATTGGAGGCAAGTTCACAAACTAGAGTGCTAATTGTTGGTGTGAAACAGTAGTTGTGTATCCACCTTCTGATTTTAGCAATCAGTATACTGAATAGTCAAGATATAAGGGATCCATATCAAAATCAGCACAACATTGTATATCCACCTTCAAATAATCAAAATTATGCTGTTAGAACAGAAAGTAGCAATGCAATCTTCAACCTATCTTCTGGATGGCATCATGACACATCAGCAGAAATGGGAATTGTAGATGTGTATGTTGAAAACTGTGTTCTCTTATCATCATTTAACGGAAGTGGGTCCATTTCGACATTAAATTACGAAAATACCCCTCGATGAATGATGTGATCATTAGAAGTCCATCTATTTCTTCTGCCATTAGTAATGATGTTTCTCGATTTGGAAGCTTTGTGGAAAATGATAGTATGCAAGAGTTTCGTGTTATTGTTGAAGATGTAACTGATAATCGGCCACCTGGCATCCCTTCATCTGTAGCAGTGATGCCATATGTTCAAGATGAATCAAGTGATGGAGTTTTAGTAATTAGAAACAGAGAAAATGAGATTGTTGCTCAATCTCATAGCAAGGTAAATTTTTTATAGAAATTCATTTTATTTAGTAATTTTCTTTGGCCAATTTGATTAATCTTCAGTTTTAGGATGTTGAGGATGATAAAGGAGTGAATGGTGAACACCATACAACAGTAGCTAAAGCTGAAGATGGGATGCATGGTCTGCAGATGATGTAATTCACGCTCTCTGATGTTAAAAATTGGGCAAATAAATAAAAGTTTAAAAAACTTTAATCAAATAAAGATTTTAGCTTATTTTAACTAAGGATTCCATAGAAGCATATCATAAAAATGTTGATCTTGAGGAACTACGTGAATTAGGAGCCGGTACATTTGGAACTATTTATCATGGTAAATGGAGGGGAACAAACGTTGCTATAAAAAGGATTAAAACAAGCTGTTTTTCGGCAAAAAAATAAGAGCAAGAGCGATTGGTAAGTTGATATTTCTTGCATCTAACCTAAACTCTATATAAAGAAAGATTAGATTTGATCCATGATTATTTTCATAGACTAAAGACTTTCGGAGATAAGCTAAGATACTTTCAAAACTTCACCACCCAAATGTGGTGGCACTTTATTGTGTGGTGCCAAATGGTCCAGGGGGAACATTATCCACTTTTATTGAGTATATGGTTAATGGTTCACTTAGACATGTTCTATTGAGAAAAGATAAGTAAGTTGAACATCAACTTATTACTTATTAAAAAAATGGATATGAAGAATTAACATATATGGTGCAGATCATTTGATCGGAGAAAGAGGCTTCTAATTATGCAAGATGTTGCAGTTGGCATGGAGTATTTGCATTGGAAAAACATTGTTCATTTTGATTTAAAATGTGAAAACTTGCTTGTTAATTTGGGAGATCCTCATAGACCCGTATGCAAGGTAATTCATATCTACTTTTTTTTTTTTTATAATTTATAAAATTCCAAGTAACAAATATTACATTTAAAATACCATTATACAATTAAATTTCAGATTGGTGATTTTGGTTTATCAAGAATTAAACGGAACACACTTGTGTCGGGTGAAGTAAGAGGAACACTTCCATTGATGGCCCCGGAGCTTTTTAGTGTTCTTAACAATCTAATTTCCCTAATCATATTTACTCTTATGACAATTTGTTAATGTTAGCATATGAAGCTTTTGAAGGAAAGCATACATAACTATGTATTGCACTTATGTGTTTTAACCTTTTTGCCCCTCTAATGTTTTATGTTTATCTTTACCATTTCATTTTTTTTCTGGTAACACTAACAATTGCAGCTTTGAGGACACTTTAATTTGGTATCACAAAAAACTATATACACTATACAAACGACGCTTAGGTGGTGTTTTTTTTTTTTTGGCTTAATGGTTTAATTTTAGCATACAAGCTATGCTTGATCAATGGACAATAAAACAAGGTTATATTTATGTTTAATTTTTTTTGATATATATTCATCATTTATGGGGTCTTAGTAGTTGGTTGCTATTAATGACACTATTAAAATCAACAAGGTCTAACTGTAATATTGTATATTTTTAATTTTTTGATTACATGTGATATTATATTTTTTAACCAAAATTTACTATTTGGTATTAGCAATTCCATGGTTTGGAATTAATGTTTACTCATTTGCATTTAAAAATGATTATAATGAATTTTTGTGTTGGATTTTATTTAGGTATATGGAACAAAGAATGTGGGTTTCATTTTACAAGCTTAAAATGAAAAATTCAGTATCATGTTTATTATTTTGTTATCGATGGAATCGAGGAATTCTGTTCATTTTTACGACTTTGATCCAAAACCAAAGAAAATAACTGGTAAAAGTTTTAAGTGCATTGTTTTTTTGGTAAAAGTCTACAAATACATTGCTATTATAACTATAAATGAATGGTAGTATTATTTTATTACATAATCAAATTTTTAATTCTATTTAAAATTAACATTCGTAGGTTCCACGGGTTTTAACCTAGTCCTCTCTAATAAATAAAGAACTTTTTATCACATGTCATAATGTCATTGATTTTGGCACATGACAATTTGTGGTTATTTTCAATTACTTTTTTTCCACATGACATTTTTATTAATTTCCACATAATATTTAAATGTAATAATTGTAATAAATGCATATCAATTTCATTAATTGACTTCCTTCTAATTTCAAATTTTATAAATTAAAGTTTCATTAGTTTCTTTTGTTTATTTATCTAAATTATTTGTTTTAATTAAAAGAAAAACAAACAATTTAATTTTAATATTTCAATATTTTTCTATTTTTTTTTTAAATTCAAATTTATCAAATGTTTAGATTTTTTTACAAAGACGTAGCGAGTAAACGAGCAACAAACGGTACCGCATCCACCTTTTGAACGGCAACGATTTTTTTTTTTTTTTTGGCTAAATAGACAAAACGAAATCCTATTCTTTATCATTTTTTACTTAATTATAAATCGTACACGGGACAATTGACAACCTTTTTATCTTTCTAAATAAAAAGTTTTTTTTTCTTTTGAAAGCCAATCATTATTTTTATATTATCTTTATTCTTTCAAATGTATCTACCAATTTTTAAGTGATTATAGAATAAATAGGAATCTTTATGATGTATGGAACATAGATGTATATTATCTTCTTTAAAGGTTAAACAATACAATATGCTTTATTTGAATTATCTTAAAAGCTTTAAATATACTAAAGTATAAGTATATGTTTATCTATTCTTGATATTATATATATATATATATATATATATATATATATATATATATATATATATATATATATATATATATATTATAATGTTTAATTTTTGTTTATAATTAAGGGGTAAACGTTATCTCTGACGTCCCCATCAATGGATCATATATAATTATATACAAAAACAAGTCATGAGATTACCACGTCGATAAATATGGTGTCAATACTTAAAATCAAAACATCTACGGGTAATTTAAGTATAGAGGGTATTTTAGTATTTGTTTATAGTTTTCCTTTAATTGTTTTTTATCAGAGTGACCTAAATTTATTGCAAGTTATTAAAGTATCTATGAAGACAATCTTAATTGTGAAAGGTGTTTGTGTGATTTAATATTAACTTGGCAAGTTTATTGTAGGGTGAAATGTTGTTCGTTGTTAGATTTACAAGTGGGAGATAGACAAAGGCAAAATGGTCATTCTGGGAAAGCTAAAGGACTGGAGGTGCAGTGTTGTAGGAACGAGGACGATTTATGTGCAGAAAGGAAGTGCAAGGGCAACCTGGTATTCTGGAATTCTACAAAGATAATTAGACTCGGTTTACCTCAATAAACCATTTTTTAATAGTATGGATCATACCCTCAAAACCTACAGTGTATACCCTAAAGCTAACCGGTGTGATTATGTGAGTGATAAGTATACTCGATATAAATAGGGTCCATTTCGTTGATCTTGAAAGCAATGTTCAAAGAGTACAAATGGCCCTTAAACTTTCAGATAGCAACGAATAGCGACGGCATAAAATTTTGGGCCTCTTCATGACACGGTCATGTACGGACTCACATCCGACGCCTCATTAGGGTCTGGATGTAAGAACATGAGTAAATTACAATTTTAGTTCATGTGGTATACATCTTCTAGATGTTTGGTCTTTACTTTGGAAATTTGACATTGTTTATCTTCTAGTTGGCAAATATCATGTAATTTTGATATTTAAGGTAGTTACCGTTAATCTCATTCCGTTAAATGATTGTGAAACGACAAGATTCCTTCATTTTGTCATTTTCTAATTTTGCATTTCTTTATCATTTTATTCTTATTATAATTAAATAAATCTTTTTTATCCACCATCATCACCATTTACCACTATTTGTTTATTTAATTTTAATAAACTTTTTACTTCTTAGGCTGGAGTATATGGTGTCACTGGCACCCATATCATATTTTTTTATGTCATTAGAGCACCACTAAGTGTAATGCCAATTTTACCATAAAGTTAAGGTTTCTTGTCACACACAAGGAATTGGCATCATGGCATGCACAAACAACTAAATGTTATATTTATTAATGTTGATTTTGATCGTCAAATCAATCTCATACTCATCACCGATGTAGTGAGTTGCATCCTACATTAAGATTCTCATGTAATGATCTCTTGCTTTCCTAAGCTCTCTTTGAGTAGCAATGTGCAAAATATTTGTCCATTCTGTCATTTAGACTCTTGAACTTCGTCCCAACTACTTTCAACTTTTCAAGTCATCTCAATCTATGATTTGTCTTTGCCTTTCTTTTTGCATTTGCCTTTCACTTGTCTCTTCCCATTTGATCGGGAAGGTGGTGTCTCTTAAACAATACCATCATCATGAGGTCGATTCCAACACAAGCATCTGGTGTAGTGTGCTCAGATTCGGATTTTTTGAGCGTTTTGAATCAACATCGATATGTTTGCTCGAATGTTTTGGTCGCTTTCCATTTTTCGTTATCTTTCATAAAATTCTAAAACTTAACAATCTGTAAAACCTTTTTGTTTCTTTTTAGTAAAATTTTAGTGTTTTCTTCAAAATGACATCATCACTTTATCTGCTTTGCCATTTACGTTTCATGTTATATAAATCATTAAACAACATAACTTCCTTAATTGTTTTCCCCCATTCTAAGTACACTTGGTGTTTTTGTAATGCCCTAAAATTCAGACCAAGATTTTTCATTTAAAAATAAAAGTGATTATTCAATTTACAGCAACAAGGATCTAGATAACATCATTTGATTCAAACGTTTATCGGAGTATTTTCAAAAGTTGTCATGAATGAAAATCTCCAGATGGATACGATGCAATCTACTCGTGCCCCTCGTTTAATATGAGAAAACCTGAAACATTTAAACCACAAACTGTAAGCACAAAGCTTAGTGAATTCCCCAAAATACCATATACAACACAAAACAAATAAACAGTTGTGATCTATCAGCAACCCTGGAGACTACCTGAATTCTTAGTGGGCGAACAGCACGCCCTATGCGTTATCAGCAACCCTGGAGACTACCGAATTCGCAATGGGAAAACAACACGCCCTGTGAGTTATCAACAACCTTGGAGACTACCCGAAGTCTCAGCAGACATAGTAAAACATATCACAGTAACAACAAATAAGACCCAGTTGGTCAGCACATATATATACTACCACCCAGGCAAGTACAATCCAATAGGCTAGTATTGGTGCCTTCGACCCACGAGTATAGTGAGAAATCTCACCATAATCTAATACTAATCAATCATGCACACACATGAGCTGCCGATGTGAATGCTCCTCACATTAATCATAACCAAAACGATCTTGATTAACAATTAAGGAAATTATCCATAAACAAGGGTCCATATTATATTCCATCATGCTAAGGGTAAAAGACCATTTTATCCTTCCCTTACTAGACCCATCTAACCATGACCCAAACTCAAAATGAACCAAGGCCCAAAATAGCCCAAACATCATTTTGATGAGTACGCCTCGTATACCAACCCATTACGCCTAAGGTACTGCTCGATCGAAGAAAGGGATTTGGATCGAAGCATGTTACATGCAACGTACCAAGATGGTGTGCCCAACATAATTTGTTGATGTCCAAACTCCACTTTGAGTGCTTAATCTTTTAATACAACTCATCCAAAACTCAGATCTAACTCCTACAAAGGTCTTAACTGATAAAATTGACAACTTTAAGCTTTTGCATGGCTTGATGGAGCCCAATACCAAGCTATAGGTCTATAACTTCATAAAAAAGGTCAACAACTCGTGCATGGGTGAACTACGACCCCCAATATTCGATTTTTTATGACTTAATAGCTTCCAAAATGACTAGAAGTAATGCTGAAAGGTTATGGAGTAGCTTCTACTCACAAGATCCAAGCCGTGAGACCAAGACATAACCAAAACATGAGCCAATTCTAGTTCTAGTGAAATAAGTGATAAAGATTCAAGCTTTATACAATCTAAGGTTTAGGAATGACAAATGAGTTCAGGATCTAAGAGCTTAAGATTCACCAAGCTTCAATGGTGGACTTATTCTTCTTCAAGATGTACCAAAAACACTCACAAACACTCAAGAGGCTCAAAATCTTCACAAATGGGGCTAAGGTTTCGAGATGATGCTTTGGAAAAGATGGAGGCTGAAATAGGGCTCAAACTCTAAAAATTAGGGTTTTCACCCTGTGTAATTACGCCTAACATACTGGATAAAGTCTCGCGAC